TTTTAAAGATATACATTAAATGTAAATTGTTTTAAATGTTTCGTTCCGTCTCGTAAATTAGTTATTTTTACAAAGACCAGCTGATCGCGTCTATCTATGAATATTCTATAGTTCTATACCGCTATACGTAATTCYCATCAAATAAWCACGATGACGTTACGATACGCGATATAAAAGTAATTGGTGTCCGATTTTTAGTAGGTACTCGTAGAGTATTTAGTTAGTCGAATGTTAGTGTTCGATTAATTCGAATAGTGTCATGAAAAATGCTGAATATTAAACCGTATGRCCGTTGTCGATTACGTGCGTATGTAGGTACAATTTTTTTAAGTTTTCAGTTRGGTATAACAATATTATAMATACAAAAAACTGTTAAAAATTGTGTWTTTATCGAATTTAATATAATTTATTAAGTTWTTTAGTACATTTTTTTAAGGCACTTAATCGTATTTTTTTAGGACATTTATCTTATTTTTTAAGACATTAAATTCCGTTTCCTAATTATTATGATATATATGTGCAAAAACTRCTCCAAAAACATATATTTCGTACATTACCAGCATTGCAGTACCTATCTAATATTTTGTATACTATATTATACGATTGATAATCGCCTAAGTGTGTATAGTATATGCTAACCATAACCATATAATAAATTACATTGCATTATGCCTATTGCCTATAAATCAAATAAAAATAGCATGTTTAGATTAAAATAATAAAATGAACAATGTAATACGATAAAAGTTATATATTAATTCAAAGCGATGTTATTGCGTTCGTGGTTCCTATTGTTTCTAGCTCCTTAGCGTTTCGCAATTTAAAGTCGTAGTAAACTACGTTCATGTGTACCACTCGTTCGAATCTCATTTTGCAAAAATTATAATAATAATAACGACAACAAACAGTAATGAAAAAAAAAACCCGAGGATGTCACGAATTTGGCRGAAAGTACGACAATACAAACATAAATGGATCGTGTCTCTTCGACCTGTTTTCCGTTTATTGTATAATATAATAAAATATAACGCCGATGGTTTTTGGTTATAGAATTCGGTGCCAGGCGGAGCACAATTCGTCGTTAAAAGTTCAATTGCAATACTCCGCGGCGTAACCCACTCAATCGTCAGTTGTAGTTCTTGACAAGGGCGTGCATGCCAACACACAACAGAGCGTACAGGTAATAATAAATGCAAAGCAATAAACTCTATTAAAAAATTTTAATATTATATTTCCATCTTAATTTTTTTATTCAGTTAAATTACTGTTACGTTTGGACACATTTTAGATTATTTTAATATAGGACATCCAAAATAAATATGTATATGTAGGTAGTTGTATAATAGTTGCATCCAAATGATCATTTAATACCTAGTTATTTTCTATTAAATAAAATGATAATAAGTAAGTGATTAAACAATAATATAGCTTACTTATACAGTTCAAATAATAGAAGTCAGCATTGACTATATTAAACTGTCATA